GCTTGAATGCAAAACGTGAATCCAACCATATGAATTGATAGAATGGAATGTTTTCTGAGAAAGCTTCAAACTGGATGATGTATAGCAGTACAAACACCCCTCAGTCTATCGCGGATTACCGTAGGGCTAAATGATGGAATGGGACCAGGATTTCTCGCTAACACTTTGCGGATAATTCCATCGGCGGTTACGGGGTTTCCCCTTAAAGGCGTATTTAGCATAAACATTAACATGTTCGGACTGTATTTCAGATTGTAACCTAACCGGATGTTTACCAGCTTTAATATTTAACATCACGTGTTAGTACCTTTTCCGTTTTTAGTATTCCAGTCATGCCAATTATAATGAATCAGCACTTTTCCCCGTTGCAATGTAATATTAATTGTATCTTCGCTGACTGTTTACGCGGCAATGAAGGTTGTCTGCGCGAATTTTGTCCGCACGTAGCCCCACATTATCATGATTTTTTTTTAGCAAGAAAACCAGACAGGTTTATTTTATGTCCCTCTCGTCACTGTGCTAGAATTATTTGGGGAAATCAAGAAGCGATTACCAGAGACTAATGAGAATTAAGCGCGGATTACGCGAGTGCCAAACACACATGGGACATGAGCTTTATACCTTCGTAGACGTCTGTATGTAGTTATGTGGTATTTAAGTCAGCCGTCTAGAAATTGTTCTGTTCACTCTGTTCTGTGCTGTTATATTTATCCCTTTAAATAAACAATTTAATTGAAGTTGCATCTCCAGACGTTGTCATTGGCCGTCTATGGCTATCACCCATCACACGTAAGTAAATATGTTGACGCCCCCAAAAGAGAACTATGAGCTTCTTAACTTAAGATATTTATTATTATTATTAATTTCAATGTCTCCCTTATTGCCTCAGCTCCTATTTAGAGGCAACAGTCGCAAATAGGTTAGATCTTTGGAAAACTAGTTATACAAATAACTGAAATTGGAGTCGAACCCAACTACTTTTTCCAGTCATAGTGTGGAACTTATCATGTTTAACTAAATTCCTAGTCAATTTTCAATTACTAGGAAAACCAGTCAATATTTTGACTAAGTTGTTTTTAGAGTGCGGGGCGGGGGGGGGGGGATTGGGACAACTCTGTTACAATGTCTCCCTGATGATCCATCGCCGGTAATTATTCACATTTCTGGTAATGAAACCAAGGATTCCTCAAGGAACTCTAGCTCGCAAACCTGAAGAAACTTGCAGAGAGAAGACATTAACTTAAGTTGACAATTTAGAGGTGGGAGGAAAACCCCAGAAGGGCAATTCCACGCAAAAGTGGACACGGCTGGAAAGTGGATACTGTACGAAATCTTCCAAACTATAAGCATCACAACATCAAATGTGGTGTCAAATTAAAGGGGACAACAAAATCTTTCATTCGAGTGGTATGCCAATGAGATGGAATGTAGTTTAGTGTGATTTCGGGTCGAAAAAGTTTGGTTTGGGGGGCTAAAATCACGCATTTTTGATAGTCATTTTGTCACCTTGTTTTGCACGCGCAAAATGTGACTGTTATTGAGAGTGTTTGTGTTTAAGGCTGAGAGAAAGGTTCATATATTATAAGAAAAGAGTTTCATAAGGTTGCAGTTCATCAACCTCAGATTTTATGGCGTGTTAGAAACCATGAAGAGGAAGTAACGTGGGCGACGTAACGTGAGTGACGTAACGTGAGTGACGGTACCTCCCTGTAATCTAATGTCCCTTGCATCTAAAATACACACGTATTTGATTCAACATGTTTTTATATACAGCTTTGGGTTGAATGAAAGGTAAAATTATGTTACTTCTGTGTTGCAGACGACAGTTTGAGGAGACTTTAACAACAAAATTGCAGGACAATTTTCCGTGTCCTTTTTTGTAACGTGAGTGACGACCAACAAAACACATGTTTTCAAAACAAAAAGGAATGGAGTGAATTTTTCTTTCCATTTTTGAGTACCCCTTACCCCAAGGTTGTTGTATGGCTGGTTTGATTCAGCGTGATCAAATATTTTTGAAGCAGTGAGAGGTCTAAGTAGCCTCATGGCATAATGTAAGGTGAGTGACGGTGGAATTGCCCTGAAGAATATTCTGGGGAAATCCACGGAATCAGGCAGGGAGTGAAAACCCAATTCACCTGCTGACCAGGGTAGGAATCGAACCCTAGCCACAGCGGTGGAAGGCGAGGAAAGAACCGCTGCGCCAACCTGTCTCCCCTTTATTAATATTAGAGCTTCGAATCAGAAGGTAGTCATATTTGAAGTCGTACATTATTTGGTGCGTTCATAACTTTATTTGGTGTTTGTAGCGTGAGATTTATATTTGGGGAGATGCAAATGAAAATTGAGTGTGCCGGAAAAAGTGCAACACACGCAACAAATAATTACAACTGTTTAATGTTTTTCTTCAATGAAATTATATATTACATTAAAGCCTGACTATTTCTCAATCCACTCTATTTTTTACCCCATTCCATTTGGGTCCCTAGATCCAGAAATACAAGCAATTAAGTGAACGGGTGTAAATTGTACTTGGGCCACTCTCACCTGGACATGTTGAATCTGGGTTAAGCATTGAATAGGCATTGAATAGGCATTGAAGTTGGTGACATCACAGTTGACAGTGGCCCAAGTAAAACGTACACCCTTTCACTTAATTGATTGTATTTCTGGACCTAGGGACCCAAATACAATGGGATAAAAAAGGAATGGATTTAGAAATAGTCAGGCTTTAATGTAATATATAATTTCATTGAAGAAAAAAAAACATTAAACAGTTTTAATTATTTTCTGAATGTTGCCTTTTTTGGCACACTCTCATGAAAGTCAATGACACGTACTTGTCACGCAACTGAAGTCACAATTTGCATTTTTTGGAATAGTGCTGGTACACTGAGCATGCATTATACAATGTAATTTAACTTCTGAGCGCTATACGACTGTTTTATTCATTAATTATTGAACACAAGATTACTCACATTTGTAAGCAAAAAGCGGCAATCCAAATGTGTCGGGCTACATCGGGAGATCAATAATTTTGTTTACAAAACCACGTTGACAATACGCCAAAAACTGTTTTATTTATTTTCTTCCTAAGTATACCATTCAAAATGAGAAGCATGCAAGAAAGATTTTGTAACGTTTTGTCTGAAAAGTTATAAAAAGTAAAGATAATCTGCTTTTAACATTCTCGTAGGCCTACGGAAGCGTTAAAGGGACATAATAAAAAAAAAGTTATATGAGTTATATCTCATAATTATGACTTATTATTAAGTCATATTTATGACATATCTCATAATTACGACTTAGTATTAAGTCGTAATTACGACTTAGGATATCTCATAATTATGACTTAATATTAAGTCATTATTATAACATGTAAGTCATAAAGATGACTTGATATAAGTCATAATTATGAGATATAAGTTAAAATTATGATTTAACAATTAATAAGTCGTAATTATGAGATATAAGTCATATTTATTTCTTAATACTAAGTCATTGTTATTAGATATAAGTCATAACAATGACTTAATAATAAGTCATAATTATGAGATATAAGTCATAATTATGACTTAGTTCTTTTTTTTAGTTTGTATTATGTCCCTTTAACGCTTCCGTGTAGGCCCGAGATTTTAGTGCATTTGAAAATCTGTGTGTGCTCGCATTTATCATGTTTATCGCATCTACGTCACTCTGTCGCTACCTACCGACATGTTTCACTACACGGACTCCACCATGAGTTTCTTGCAAATGACAGGCAGGCTTCCTTGTATGTGACAATTCCACGAATCGCTAATAAATGCAACACGACCGCACATTTATATTGGTTTTGTCTGGCAGGGAAGTACTCCGAGCCAGCCAGATAAGTCTCTGATAGACACGGTTTCTCTTGACAGCGACGGGAAGATTTGGGGAGAGCGGTGCCGGAGGCTGGTCGAGATGATAATTAGAAAACAGTCTTACATTTAACTTCAGCGTGCATAGAGTTGACTCATTTGTTTTAAGTTGATTGCACACGTATTAGAAGCCCGGTATTTATTATTTCAAATTCACTGAGTAATAACATAGAACACTACCGAGATAAAAATCTTCACTGCTTTTATCGGTTCGGAAAATTGTTTTCATTTGCACGTGAGAAGCATAATTTCCTGTTTACAAGTCCAGCAGTGATGTTATCTATACATCGACCAGTTTTCTCTTACACTTGTATAAAAGTTACCCTTGAAAAGGTTCGCTCGTACCCCCGCCGTGCAAACAAGACGCTGTGATACTCTGATGAATTCACGCTCTGATTGGTTGGATTTTGCGTGACCTGTGACCTGCGCGTCATCACGGTCATGACTCTGCAAGGTTTGAAACGGCCGTTAAGACTGATTCATTACTATTTTATTCCAGTTTAGAGATGTTTTTTTCGTTGAAAAGCGTAATTATGTAGGCAAATCTGTAAAACTTATCTGTGTTGTAAATTTACAATTCCCGTCACTTGCTCAGGCTCCGTTTCGAATCACGAACGGTCGGATTGCATTATGCGAAGCTCAAAATTGTGTCCACATGGTCCGCAATGAAACAGAAATCACATCCGGTGTGGAACGTGTGCATTTCTATGGGAAGTTTTCGGATAGCATTTGCGCACTTTGTCTAACTGCGGTCTTGAACAGCTGCAGCCAGATGCTTTAAGTCATAGGCCACTTCCTACACAAGATTCTGTGAAGCTCATCAGCGTATCCCAGCGTCCTGTTTGCAGGGCGGGGGGTACGAGCGAATTGAAAAGGTTGCCCTCAGCTTCATGTTTAATTCTTGCGCCTTGTGTTCTTGAAGCTATGGTAGTTATGTCTACTCCACGGTGCAGTCTTGTTGAAATTCCTTCGCTCGAGCCCTTCTAGCTGTTTCATGTTCAGATCTAGTTCCCATCGAATACAAGTTACAGTTGCCAACTCCCACACATTTATTTGTGTTTATATACTCGACTTACGTTACCCTCTGTTCTCCCTGTACAGGATACGGTCACTCAGCGCCGCTGACGCCCGGGGGAAAAATCTTCTGTATTTTGTATGCCTTAGTCGGGATCCCGTTGAACCTCGTCATGTTTCAGAGTGTGGGTGAGCGTCTCAACATATTCATGGGCTTCTGCGTGAAGAACTTCAAACGCTGTGTGAGGTTTAAGAAAGCCGAGGTGTCGCACACCGAACTTGTGATGCTAGGAGGATTGTGCACGATGCTAATCACAGGAGGCGGCGCCCTCGCTTTTGTGAAGTTCGAGGGGTGGCACCTCTTAGATTCGGTGTATTTTGTGGCCATCACACTAACAACTGTAGGCCTGGGAGACTTTGTGGCTCTTCAGCAGAATAATATGCTACAAAGTAACCCTGAATATGCAGCATTTGCTATTATTTATATTCTCGCAGCCTTAGTTGTTGTCGCCTCAGTAATGAACTTGTTGGTGCTGCGCCTCCTCACACTCAACACCGAGGACGAAAGGCGTGAGGCACAGGCACAAGAAATGACGTCACGTAGTAGTGGCTTAGACCTGAATCACATAGATGGGCATCTACCATATCATCATGCGCATGCCGGAGGTGCATTACTTGGTAAGAAAACAGACCCGAGGTCCATGTGTACCTCATGTTGCAATGATTGCAAGCACCCTCATAGAACTCATCACGATCCGTACGGGATTGGAGCTAATGCAATACATCTCCAGCATATGGGACCTACCATTTATCATGCCACCTACTCGGACGATGAAACATTCGAAAACTTCATGACTTGTGAACGGTCTTCGAAACGCAAATCGATTTAGCGTGCTTGAAGAGCGTTTACCAACGGATGTATAATAGAAAGATTGTAATACAGCACCAGTGACCTATTCAATAAAGGAATTACTCAAATAACATCACTGAGTGGAATTACGGAACGATTCCCCAAAGGAGCAGGAAAGAATTCACGGAGCCGAGTATTTAACTGTGTATTAAAACGATTGGCTGACTGAAGATAGAGCGTTAAACAAAATGTAAACAAAGGTTTAAAGATTGTTGGTTACATGCCTTTCAAATTGGACCTAGTGAATAGATGTTGATATACTGAAGCATGGTTTAAAAACGTACAAACGTCCAATACAGAGAGTGCTTTGATATAAAATACCTTTTTAAATTGCAGCCTGCTCATCATCAGCGATAATTTCTTTACGAGACGGTTGTATAATTCAGGTTATGAATCCCACCCGTAAGCGTTACCAGTAATACGAACAAAGCAAAGCAGTAACTTTCAGCACGCTTGCAGGGAAACACGGTTATATTGGGGGGAAATTCGGAAAGTTGGGTTGGCATTTTTACGATTTATTAAATATGTGTAGATATGGTTTACCTTTAGTGTCCAGTAGGTTGCAAAGTATCTCGAATAGACAATGTTTATAGATAATTGGAGGATCGGTTATATCACATCTTGTTTGGTTCAACGAACTGTTTCTTATTGACAGCATAACATGAGCTGTTTACTTCACCGAATGTCTCTTAATGAGTGGTTAGTGAATGGATGTGCGGGGACGAAAATAGAGGTCTATAAGTGTGGGCACTAGGTCACGCTCTATTTATACACGGACGTAGATGAGAGATGCGGAGATGGAGACGAAACGACAGCACTCGTCCGCAGGAGCCATTGCATCAAGACGTGCGCGCGCCCCTTTTGTGCACTTGAACCAGCGCCAATTCACACACGATGGCCGGCCCTTACTGAATTACCCCGACGGACGAGTCCCGAGGATTTGTTGATCATCCCCGGGGAGAAAGCCTACCTTTTCCAAGGCTCTAGGTTTGAATGCAAGATAATTCCCATGGCAGAGCTCTTAAGCGAACAATCAGACAAATGCATCAGAGTTGCCAGACCCTAAGGATCCATCTATATTGAATGAAGCCGCTGCTTTTATACATAAATATATACAGGTTTACAATCAGTGTATTTATAGTAACTCCTTGTTGTTTCTTTTTTACGGGATCGCTTGAGAACCACGTTTAGATCGGACATGCAATCTAAAGGGTGTATATACCAGTTATCATAACACATATCCCAAACACCGACTACCGGTCAAAACACGTGCAGTATCATTACTAATCGATATCCACATGATACAGGTTTTAAAAATGGATTAAACTCTCACATACGCTTTGACTATTTCATAGGAACATAGTAAATATCACAAATCTGAACAGATTTTAAGCGTTGTACCTATTAACTATTTTTATGTAATTTATTTGTATCTTCCACCGTATAAATATAGTGTTTGGGAACATTGTAATCTAATGCAATGAAGACTTTGTATTATGTTAACTAGATCGAACCAATCCCAATTTTGTGCTAATAATTTAATTGTATTGTGACTTCACAATTTTTGCTTTGATCGGGATAATTTTAAAAGGAATTTTCGAGGTGACATTGAGAACGAAACCATTGTTCATCGTGGAGCAAAAGGGATGGGTTGGCCCAAATGCTTTCTATACTGCAGTGATAATTATAGTTATAATTGGTTAAAGGGAATATACAACTTTTGCGCCTGCTGTAATTTTCAGAAATGGATGGATTTGTGGGTTAGTTTTTACAGCAAATATTGTTACGCTGACTTGTTTGAAATTTTATGTTCGTATATGCTGGAAAAACCAAGAAAAACAATCATGTTCCTGTAGTCTGGTTCCCTGAGCCAACTTAAGATGAAACGGAGCAATTTATAGACGTCGGGGAATTGTAAGGTCAGGGAACCAGTCTAGCTGGCTTGTACCCGTTCATAGGTGTGTGATCAATTGCAAACAAAATGTAGACTAACAACATATTGTAAATTAGGGGCAGTATTTGAAAAAGCCACTTTTCTTGAAAATGTCAGCACACCAGGTGACATGATTTGACAGGATGCTTTTGAATGTCATTCGCTAACAGTCCAGTAAGGTATATCATTAATTTTTTTTTTGATGTTTGCAAATGTTACATATTCCCTTAAATTGTTGCATAAACTGATGGTACCTGGGTCGGCCCAGTAAAATGACATCAAACAAACTGGTTTGGGGTAAAAGGCCAAGTAAATACCATCTTCATTCATTCATTGCCAATGAAGCTGAACGTAGTCAGTGGGCATGTCGGACTTGCTGCTTTGTCGGGCTTTGTCAGCCCATGCACAAATTAGTAATAACTTAACGATTATCACATCGAACTACTAGCATGAAATGAGCATGGCATATGTACATGCAGAGGAGGCTTCGCAACATCAATTCCACACCCTCCGGTAAACGTGACGCATTTGGGCAAATATGAACTGAACAAGCACACAGTCAGTATAGCTGTAGTTTGCAGAGGTAGATTTTGTTAATGTAAATCTTGGTTGGCAAGAATGTACCAACAATTTCTTTTGAAGGATTCTATTATAACCACAGTTTGTCAAGCTTTTCGAGTTTAAAATATTTTTCTTTAAAGTATAGAGTAACAAATACAGGATGAGTTAAAAAAAAAAAAAAGCGGAACCCAAACCAAAACAAATATATTTCATATTTTAACAAAAATATGTAGAACCAAAATAATTATGACTTGGAAGCCTATTTATTAAGCTACTTTTAAGTGAAAAAAATATTTCAATTGCTCTGCATGTTGAAATTGTATTACTTGAACGCAGTAACCCTAAAATGAAAAAGCCATTTATTACATGTGTTCTGACTGTTTGGAACAACAAAGAAAATAACACAGAATACTTGTTCCAACAACTGGACTACACAATATCTTTATTAACAACCCTGCTTTGGCTAATAATAGGATTTATAAAATCCCTTTTTATTGAAAGTGGACCTTCAAAAGGACTTTGTTGAATGTTTTTAATGTTTAAAGTGAGGTTTTATCGCTGGTGATTGTTTGAAGACAATTGAAACGACAATTCTTGAAATCGCCATTATTTTTTTTTGACGAACAGATTTTCGGGTCATTTCGTTTAAATGGTGGTATAATTTGAACGGATTGAGCAATTGACGTATTTTTTTCATCTAAAAGTAGTTTATTAAATTGGCTTAACAGTCATAATTATTTTTGGTGCAACATCTTTTTAAATATGAAATATATTTCTTTGGGTTTTGGTTCCGCTTTTACTCACCCTGTACTTAAATCTGGGCTCAATGTCTCGGCTCTGCTTACCGTTACCGAAAATAAATCCCTGCTTACTATAGCAGAAAATTCCGTGCTTACGGTAAGCGTATTTCACGCGTTAGCGAGGAATTTATGCTTCTGCGCATGCCTATATCCCGAAACTAAGGGATTCTGCGCTTACGGGTTAGCACAGAAGTGTTCTTCTAGCGTGGTTAGCTCAAAATTTGTGGTCGTAAGCGCGGAATTATTTGGTTAGCAGAGCCAAGAAAATTAGGCCCTGGTCGCAAGCTGTTTTTCCACCGCAACGTGACACCGTCTACGAATGTAAGGTCATCCTCTCTCAAGACGATTTGTTTGGGAGCAAAGTAGATTATTTCATTGACGTGGGCGGGCGTTGATTTAAGGGCAGTTGTCCCGAGTAGTGATGGAGGAAAATACTTCTTGATATAGAAGATGGCATCTGGACGTTAAAGGGAATGTACAACATTTGCTTTTGCTGCAATTTTCAGAAATAAATGGATTTGGAGGATTAGTTTATTATAGCAAATATTGTTAAAATGACTTGTTTCACGTTTTTGGCTTGTAGATGTTGGAAAAACCAAGACACCCAATCATGTTCTTGTAGTCTGGTTCTCCGACCCCACTTAAGATGATAGACTTTTGGCAATTGTAAGGTCAGAGAATCAGTCTAGCAGGCTTGTACCCCTTCACAGGTGTGCAATCAATTACAAAGAAAACAATAAATAACTAATTATGAAAAATTAGAAACAGGTTTTTTTCCAACGCTGGTCGGCCGACCAGCCTTTGAAAAATACCATTTTTCTTGAGAATGATAGCACACCAGGAGCCACGATTTTACAGGCTGCTTTAGACTGTCATTCCCTAACAATCCAGTAAGGTATTTCATGATAATTTGATCATTTCGTTTTGTGATATTTGCAAATGTTGTATCTTCCCTTTAAAGAACGTCTCAAGCAATCATTGGTTTTCATATCCAAAGTCTACGTGAGAACAACGTGGTAAAAGAAAACAGTAATATGTGTGAAACGGAAACTATTTGTGAAGCCGTACTCGATCGAACCGCTCGATCAATAAATACCTGATCATGATATCTCAAGTCAACTATACCATACAGGAGAAACTCAAATTACCGGAATATCGATATACATTACTATTCCAAAATAAACAATATTCTCTCCAGATACCATTTTATGTTGTCTATTTAGATGGGGGATTTAGTCCTGAATGATAATCCCACATGGTGGAGTTAAAGGGAATGTATAACATTTGCTTTTGCTGGAATTTTCAGAAACAAATGGATTTGGAGGATTAGTATGTTAGAGAAAATATTGTTAAACTGACTTGTTTCAGGTTTTGGGCTTGTAGATGCTGGAAAAACCAAGAAAACCTATCATGTTCTTGTAGTCTGGTTCCCTGACCCACTTAAGATGAAACGGAGCAATTAATTCACTTTGGGGAATTGTAAGGTCAGAGAATCAGTCTAGCAGGCTTGTGCCTTCATAGGTGTGTAATCAATTACAAAGAAAAGTCAGAATAACTAAATATGAAAAGTTAGGAACAGTTGTTGGCCGACCAGCGTTGGAAAAATACAGTTTTTCTTCAAAATGTCAGCACACCAGGAGCCACGATTTTAAAGGATGCTTTAGAATGTCAGTCCCTAACAATTCAGTAAGGTATTTCGCGATAATTTGATCATTTCGTTTTTTGATGTTTGCAAATGTTGTATCTTCCCTTTAAAACCTTTTAAAAACTCTGGGTTTTTACTTTGACTTTGTAAATAGCAGGATCGTTATAAGTTGACAATCACGAAAATTCAAATTTTGGTATGTCGATACTGTTGACAGATAATCGATAGTATACTCGAGAACAAGAAGCTACGAAAAAAAAACGGATTTCGAGAGAATACAATCACTAGTTTAACTCATATGAATACGAAATGGCCAACTGTCATATGTCGTCCTTGAGACAAACAATTCAGGTTTTATGTTATCAACGATCAAATTGCTTGTTACGAACAGGGACAGAAATTTATGATGACATGCGTGGAATTTATGGGACACTGTATCCCTTAACGCTTCATGTAACTTGGGTTAGCCATAGTTTCTTCTTTCACGGACCTTTGTATCGAGGTATTGTTTTATATTTTATAGAACTGTATAGCGCTTGTGAAACCTAGAATAAATGCTTTGCTAAACATTTGAATTTTTTGTCTTCTTATAATGCCCAGGGCTGCAGATTTTTGTAATCATTAATTTGCTTGTTACGATGCAACGTTCGACTGGACACGTAGAGTATAAGGTATCAGGGTTGTTTGTTATAAATAATACGTGCGAAGATAATACGTTGGTTCCCGCCCTCAAGGTGCATACGTCAATGAACAAGTGACCCGTACCAGTGACAGCCAGATACCATTGAAATAGTTTCGCTTTGCACCCTCCGGCATTGTATCGGCGAAATAACGACTTACGAGGCAGATCGTTATTTTGCCGTACGGTGCGGGCGATCGTTTCATTTGAATAGTTGGCAACCGCGCCTGGTTGCCTATTAAAATTCACTGCTTGGCTTGGCATGAAATGATAATCAGACAAGAATGAGACGCCATTGGAAATCCACAGGGGGTGCATAAGCAATTATCATTGCTAGACTGTTTAAGATTACAGACACGTGCATGTCTGGCACGTTTTATTCACCCATGAGAATGAAGAGGGGAAAAAAAAACCGGTGTAACTATTTGTACAGTATTCTTAATTTATTTGTAAATACATAATTTATGTCGTCCATTTGGGTACCAGTGTTATATTGGACATCAAACACAATAATTGTATGCTTGGTGATTTTGGCTTGATTGATAATATATCATTACCCATTATAGTTTAATTCTGCACATACTTTTACCTTTTTCGATTTCAGGGTATCGAATTTAGGCCTAGAATCATTGTTTTAGCCCGTTACATTGTACACGCTTGTCTTAATAAACATAATGCACAATGGTCTTATTAAATACGGCCCGAATCACAGTTTATGCCGTTTTAATCGATTTGTACAATTTCTTTCTAAATCCCCCCTCCCCCCCCAAAAAATACAAAAATACAAAAAGTAAAAAATAAATAAACAAAAATAACGATATTTACGGATAACCTACTGAAAACAGTATTTGGACACGTATTGTGAGAAAGCCACCTCTTACTGCCAAATGGGCAATGCAAACGTACAATGACTTTGGAAAGTCAAGAAGGATTGTTAACTTATTCACTCGCTTCAATGGCAAGGATTAGTATAAAAACAGTACTTTTTGTTTTCGAAAGGTAATATTCCCAAATATCTTGTGTTTCCCTATTTTTGCACCAGTCTAAGAAGCTACGTCATACTAGTAAATGGTTGAAATAAGTTTTCTGATACACAGAGTGTGCCAAACAAAAGTGCAACATTCTGAAAACAAATCATCAAAACTGTTTAATGTTTTTGTAAACATTTTTAATACATTA